GTGTGTGTGTGTGTGTGTGTGTGTGTGTGTTGCAAAGTAAAGCGAAGAAGATCACGAATTGTGCTCCTTTCCCATACAGCACAGAATTTGCAATAATATTGTTGCTCTCACAACTACATATACAACCATTTACAACTACGCTTCGCAATTGTAGAATAGGCTTTACGCGCTTTAAAAACGAGCGCAACGATGAAAGATTGTCAAGTTTTACAATCGGGGGGTGAGGAGAGGAAGTCGCGATGCGCGCCGCCGACGTCTGGCGTTCGGACTCGTCGAAGAGACACAAAATCGGCAAGAAACGCTGGAACTTGCCCTTCGCAAGTCTCGACTGGTTGAGACAGACCTCGCGGGACGCAAAAAGCGCGACGGGAAGTGCGCGGGAAGGGTACAGCAGGTGTCGGGCATATGTTTGCGGGGAAGGAAAAAAATGGGGACCCGGAGTGTCTGCGCCGAGCACACTGCGGGTCCCGTATGCTCGTCGTCGAAGACGATGGCGACGAGGTCGCCGTTCAGTCTCTTTTCCTTTTCCCCTTTCCTTTTCTCCTTCCTTTCCTTTCTTTCTTCCTTTTTTTTTCTTTCTCTATGTACGCTTAACACAAACAAACCGCGCGAATGAATGGAGCTCTGCATGGGGTCTGTGACCCGTAAGCGCAATATTTTCAACGATCAGTTCTCATCTGCCGGTTTCGATCCCAAGAGAGCCAGGAAGATATCGTCCTCGACGGCATCCGGTCTTCTTTACTTGGACTTTCATTCATGACCTCAAGCTATACAGACTGCTTTTGGACCTTTAAGTCCCATAGGATTAACGCGTAACATCTTAATCTGCTTCATCGTATGAGTTAAAAGTTAGAATTTGGATCTACGATACGATTCATGTTGGACGCGCGAGAATAAACGAGAGATTAAAAAAAAATACGAATTATCGACGATCAGTAAAAAAATGTTCTTAATTTTTTTTTATTCAAAAATAATTGTACTAAATAGAAAAGCTTTTAGGAAGCGTGGATGATAAAATGATTCTATTATATAAAATGGTTTATTCGTTTAATCATTTAGGTTTTTTTTTATTTATATATTTAAAATATACAAGATATTTAAAATGAAAAGTGCATATTATATAATTCTAGAATAATTAGAACCTTGTTAGTAAAGTATAATAGAATAAGTGACATGATTACAATATTATGAAATTGTTTCCTTGTTCCAGGATTATTTGCAAGGCTGCCTAGAGCAAATCGAGGAGATGATCTCACAGGCCGCTCACGTGAGCACCGAAGTCCCCGGAAACGGAAGCGGACACCAGACAATGAGCACCGGAGTCCCGAGTGTACCGCAGAGGCCGCTGGGGGACCAGAACAACACGAGTCAGGAGAAAATACTGGAACACGAGAAGGCGGGCACGCCAACAGACGTCAGGGATGTACATTTTTGAAAACCGCAGTAGGGGGACACTCCGTAGGGGCCGACACATCGGTGAGTCTGATAGCCGAGGAAAAGTTACCTTCCAGCGAGGAAGAAATGAAAGAGGACAACGACGATGATGATGACGAACAACTAGAGAAGAAGAGGAGAGTTGTGGAAGAACGGCAGGATGTTCTGGAAGCGAAATGTAACACGGAACCAGCTGATCGTCATTCGGAGCAAAAAACTTCATTCGAAGAATCTCGAGATTGAACTTGATAAATCGTTAATTGCGTTTAAAAATTATGACGTAAATTGTAAGCCGGGGATACGTGTAGAACGCACATTTTGAATCATGAATATAAGTTTATTTCGATATAAAATTGACAGGACGTATCTATGCAAGAGAGAATGTTTGCATTCTTGGATTTATTTTGAAAATTACATATGTACTATACTATTGGGTTAGGGAAAAAATCCTTTTACATATAGCATAATTGAAACATATTTTTTAATTGTTTACAAATCTTTTATTAAACTAAATATGTGCCGTTTTGATCGATGACCTTTTGCCATTTTTCGGGTAGAGTCATTATTTCATCGGTGTAGAACTTCTGTGATTTCTCGGTAAAAAACCGAGATAATATATAAAAAGAGACTTTTTCCCTAATCCAATATATTTTAGATCAACTAAAACGATAAAGTTTTTAATTTTTTCCATAGTTACGTTCGGTTATATATTATCTTATATATATTATATATTTATTGGGCGTATACGTTCATTGTTTATCGGTGATATATATTTCACACTTTAATCGTATTTTAAAAGTTTATTTTCCACAATTGCTTCAACTTTGCCAGATTAACAAACTACAAATCGGCAAGTCGAAGAAGAATTGGTTCATCATTTTTTTCTAATTAATTTTCAATCCAAGAACGATCGATTCGAGATTAAACAAATGTTTGTTTTAATCGCGAAATCATTGTTTGAAATTTCAACCAGAAAAATGGATGAGAATAAACAAAAAAAATTAAAATACGATTAAAAACATTCTCGAGATAATGCGAAAAAAATGTAAAAGGTTAAGGACCACTGAGCGAGAGAGATCCATTTGTGTTTGAATCCGCGTGTGTCGCCCGTAAAAGAAGAGAAATAAGGAAAGAAAAAGAGAGAAGAGTGCAAAAATCAGGAAGGCGTGCTGTTTGGGGGAAGGCAATGCAATACGCTTTACGCATTTGTAATTTCGTAATAGAAATACACTTAACTTTTAGGTGATGAGACAAGAAACTACTAAAAAAAAAAAGACGAAAGAGTATAATGATATAAGTTGAAGGGGAACTCGTTCTCCGCGTGCGAGCATTAAAAAGAAAAAAAAATCACTTAGTCATATCCAGAGTCATTTAGCGTTTTGTACATATATAGGCATATAGGCGTACGAATAAATGAATATATATATTATATCGAAAAAATATATATATATCTATATATACATGTGTAAACTGATGAAAGAGAAAGGGAGAAAAACAAAGAGAATAACACGATAAAAGCAATCGATAGGAAACAGGGAATATTTGGACCGTATTGCTTATGATATTGAATTATATGACGTTTAATGTAAATTAAATAAATAAATAACCTAGAGTTGAATAATACAATTTACTCAAAAAAAGCATGACTTCCGAAATTATCTGATAATCGTTTTGTTCTTTTACTTCTACCGAGACTCTTGTAGGAAAAAAGAGATATGTAAAGAACATGCGCGGTCGCGAATACGTGCAGATATGTTTTAATAGCCAAAGTATTCGTTTTTTTTTTCTAATGCAAAACGAACAAAATCTGTGATGTATAATGCGAAACAGGTTGTAGTCTCTTGGAATTTTTTATCGCGCGATACGGTCTGATTGCTTTCTAGTTTTGTAGAGTTTCACACTCCGACTAAGATTTATCCAAATGATGAGCGAGACGCGAATCTTTATGCCTGAGGAATTACGACCGTTCGCTTGTCCCGCTCGGTTCCTAAGAAGGGTTGCGTCAACCCCTCCCGCATGTGTGTGTGTGCGTGCGTGTGTGTATGTGTGTGTAACGTAATGCAAAATGTAAGAAGAGTGATTCGCGAAATGTATGCGTGTGTCGCCGTGTACTGCTGTATGTGTATGTGCGTGTGTGTGCGTATGTGTATGTGTGCGTGCGCGAAAGGGGCGAGAGTGAAAGAAAACGAAGGAGAGAGAAGAATTAATAAGAGAGAAACGATCGAGCGAAAAACCAAAAAAAAGAAATTGACTTCCTCCCCCTTTCGAGAAAATGTCATCGATATATTATAATTCACGATACATATATCTCAAGATACGTCCATCGTTTTTGAGGACGTATTGAACATCTGTATATACGTATAGATAGGATAGATATACGATTTCAGAATTAATGTGTTATAGATAGTTTAAGGGGAAAAAAAGAAAAAAATAAGGAAAAGCGATGATAAAAGTAAACGATATTTTGAGAAATGGATTACAATTTGATGTCCTGAAAAAAATTTCGTCGAAAACTGCGATGGAAGGCAATCGAAGTCTTAACAGTTTCCTCCCTGCGACTGCATATCGTTTAGAAGAATAAACGAAACCTTTTAGGTTCCTGTAAAAAAAATAACTTCGCTGAGGCGAAGTCGCACGATCGTTTAATTCTCAAATTATTTTTACACGATATAAATAATCCTGATCGCGCGATATCGTCACAGCGATACTTTCTACGATTCTAGATATTGTTCGAAACGACGTGACGAAATCAACGATTATCGTGCGATTGTTATGCGTGTCGATGAAAGACAGATCGATATCCAAAAAAATTGGAGTTGCTAGTACTTAACGAGAGTCTCGGAGATCTCACGGAGCCGGGATCGAATGAGAGCTTCATCGTTTTGTGCCCGCGAAAATCTTCGCGATTGCGTCCATGAGCGAGAGTTTCGAGAACGGGACATTCCGACACTCTTAGCTTTTGAGATCGCTCGATTTCGCGTGGACAGAATTGTTCTACGTCTCCTACGTATCCTACGTCGTGCAGTTCTCCATGTGAGAGTCGCGAGTCGGCTCGAGCAGAAACGCAAATGGTGTGCGTATGCTTATACTGTAATACATTGAAGAAAAGCGAGCGAAAAACAGAATGTATAGTGTAGCTATAATAAGGTCTCTCACTGGACGAGTCGATTGAGTCGACTTGAACGGAGACACGAAAAACGTGGACGATAAGATCCATGTACGCAGTTCTATAATTTCCAGACGATTCGCGAATTGATCTAGATTGTCTGGATGCATGTGAATGCATGAATCGATTCGGAGACGAAAGGAGAATAGAGACTCTAAAAGACTATGGAGATCGTTGGAGTTCATGCGTGAATTCGAGATTGGAGGATAGATAGTGCCCAACGTGCCACGAAGCTAATTAGAAAGCTAATTAGTTGTGTAACGTCAATTTAACCAAATCCTAGTACAATGTAACCGGAGTCGAGTAATACAAAGATATCATGAGAGATCTGCATGGCCGATCTTACTCTTTTCATTTCCTTTTCTTCCGCCTGCTTCTTGTTTTTGGTACTCTGCGCATGAGTACCGTCAAACATCGTCGACGCGCAGCTTTCTCTGAATTTGACGTTAGCATCGTCATGAACGGACGCAATTAATCGATTTTAATTTGGCAAGAAGAAATCTATTCCCATTGTAAAGTAAAAATAGATAATACAATTTGAAAAAGATATATTGTATAATTTTTTTACTCAGTTCTTTTTGGTAAAGTATTGTTGCACATGAATATTTGATTACTTGTTTTCGTATCAAAAAGATATTTTTTTGGCTTAAAAATATTTGTAACAAATATATATATGGTGTGTGTATGTGTATGCGTGTGTGTGTGTGTGTGTGTGTGTGTGTGTGTGAATATATACATATAAGCTTTTTTTCTCATACAAAAAACATACATACTTACATATATGTATACATACAAATTATTTAATCATATGAAGGAGAGAAGGGGGAATAAAAAATTGCAACATTCTGGAATTTTTGCAAAAATGAGAGTTTTCTTTTTTCAAATCAAAGAATTCATCAATATTATTATTATTTGAAGATTATTAATTGCGAAATTATACATTTAAGAGAACAATGGGGATAGCGTTCTACTTCCTATTGCGTTCGTATATATGTACATAAATGTAACTAATGTAATGCAAAGTGTGTTAAGAAACGATATATTCGTTTACTATACGCGTAGATTTATTATTGCGCGTCGAGTTTCGCTCGAGCCGAGATGTAATCTCGCGTAATCCGTCATAGGTTCCTAACGAGAGACGGTGGGATTGTCTGATTACGAAGGAAAAAATGCGGGACACGAGTTTGATGCGTGTGTTTAGCATTTAAGCAACGAAATGTATATAAAAGCGATATAACGCTGTAGAGAAAGACCGAGTTATGGAGCATTGTGTAATTCAATCCATTTTTTCTATCGACTAATCTCATTAACTTCACTTAAACAAGATCCATAATTTGTTTATTTGGTAAAAATATGACGATACTGGAAAAAAATACGACGTGATCCAAAATTGACGAGATTAGCGATATTTCCGAAAAGTTGAATTGAGGACAGGAGAATAGTGATGAAAAATAAAGAGTGAAAAAATTAATCATGGAGTTCGATGTAGATAAAAATGATAGTGAAGCAGCAGATTAAGTTTCCTTTTTTTTATTTTTATAAGGACGAGAAGATTGGGAAAAAACTCGAGATCGAGCTTCTCAATAAAGTAAGAAAGTATAACGTCCATGTATGCGTAAATCATGCATGGAAATCATACTCCATAATCGGTGATTCATTTTGCGTTTATAATTATAAACATGTAGACATAAATACACATACACAACTCGGTTAAATACGTGTACATTTTCCCACATATTTTCACGAAACTTCACTGATCTGTCAAGTGTCGAATGATTTTTTTGTTTGTCTCTTCTTCGTTTTTTTTTTATTATTAATAGCGCAATAGGAAATACCACACTGATATACCTCAAAACACACTTCGCCCAAAATATTCATCGAATATTGTATCTGATCTACCGTACTTTTTACCGAGTCAGAGAAAAACGAAACATTTAATAATTGCGTTACTTTTAAAGTTAGCACGTAAATTACTTCTTTTAATGCATAGATGAGAATTGTACTATGTAAAATGGTCTGACGTCTGTGTACATACCTTATGCATATTCGCGGCATCGCAATCGATTAAAAATAAAGCATCGGTATTTTATACTAGTGTTCCCTGTATTTTTTTTACTCAATTTTTTCCCCATCTTACCTGTACAACTTATATATACTTCCTTCATTAAAACAAAAAGTCGCACTGAATATAATTTTCTCTGAAGTTTATGTGTTTTATTGATCTTAAATAATATCAAATTAAAATTGTAAATATTTCTAAATTAAAAGATCTAGTAAATATTTTTAGATATTTTAACTCTTGCTTATATATAATATATAAATAAAAATTTACATTTAGCATTAAAACCAATATTCGCCTCCTTATTGCATCTTTTATTTAGATATTTAAATGTAAATGAAAGATATTGTATAACATGTTAT